ACACTTTGAAGTGCTTGAAGAAATTGAAGAAGGCCAAATATTAAAGTGCAAGAACTGTGGTAGAGCCTTAAATTTTCGTTCAGGGTGTACCACAAGCATTTTAAGGAGGCATATAAAGTATTGTCTTGAGTGTATTTATCCGGAAATTTGTATTTAAGATTTTTCGACAATTTGTGTTATTTTAAAATTATTAGACATATTTATGCTTAATGTTTTACTTTGTTATTAATTTATTATGCATGATAATTTAGTTTTACTATTGTTTGTTATTTTACTTTTTCTTCAAGCACTTTAATAATTAGGTTTCTATATTATATATACTACATATATTTATATAGCCATGTATAAGAAAGCAATTTATATTAGTATATACATATATAGTTTACAAGAAATTGCCTTAAACAAAAAAAAATTAAAAAAAAAAGTAGCCCGAAAATAAAAAAGCCCGTTAGGCCCGTGAGCCCGGCCCATTTAGCCCAGGACCATGTGGGCTTAGGCCCGTAATGGGCTGGTTCCACACGTTGAGCCCATGAAGCCCGGGACCGCTTGAGCCCAGCCCGCTTGAGCCCGGTCCCGTTTGGCCCGGCCCATTTAGGCCCGGGCCCGGCCCAGAATACAACATTATAATGTCCAATTGGGATTTTCCTCTTCCCTGTCAGTTATGTTTCTAAAACGCACTTTAAATAGAGAAAATCTATTATTCGGCAATTTAAGGTGGAAAAATCATTTTGGTTAACTATTTGGCTTTTTCATTATGGCAATGGAAGTAACTTTCATAAATAAAAGATTATAAATTTCAATATAGTTTGTTAAAATCTCGATGATTTTTGCAAAATCCCAAAATGACTAATGTTGAAACTTATCCCCAGTCCCCACTAACTCTTTTGAGAAAATTTTAGACCATTATATTTACCGTTAAGATAAACAATGGCATGGGAGAGAAAGTAGTATGGGAATGAAATATTTTCTTCTGGATCTTTTTATCAAGAACAATAATTTACATTAATTTGTTCTGCCCAAAACCCAACACAATAATATTTTGACAACGGACACAGAAAAGTTGGACAAGAGCTGTCTAAACACGAATGTTTTGCACGGCAGACTTGTTTGGTGGTTAATTAAATTGCTAGATTCCTTATTGCTCTTAATCATCAACATAATCAAAGTGAAATTTCTAATGTCTCCTCATCCCCTTTTCCTAATTATTTTGTAAAGTAAAATATCTGTCTTAACATAATCAAACCCCTAACATTTACTTAAAACGTACTTTCCTAAGTAAACCACCAATGCATCTAGTTTAGTGATCTTGCTATAGCAAATTCTCGAGCCAGTTTAAAATAAAAGGCATAAGGTTGCAGTGGGTGGAGCAGGATAAAACATAATGATTAAAACAACATTGGATTTTAAAAAAGATTGGGACATTACTTAGAGGAATTGTTAATTGTTTGTGTGTAAAATCAATGATGCACTTGGGATGGAGCGTGCTAAGACGCCTGCGTCCTTGCCATAATAATACTAACAGCAAACGTGCAATAGTGCATGGTAATATGTGGTACTATATCTTAAATAGCTACAAATTGGGGTTTTCTCAATTCTTAGCGTGTCGTTTGTCTGTGATCTCCAGCTAGCTCTATTTATTAGTACGAGTCCTAAATTATGTGAATATGGTATAAATTTGTTACACTATCATATTAAATTAAAAGTATATTCAATTTTTAAAGTTTATGAGTTACTATAACGATTTTAGGTTAATATACAATAATAATTAGGAATTTAAATATATATAAATAAGTAGTGGATTTCTTTTATATATATATATATATATATATATATATATATATATATATATATATATATATATATATATATATATACAAAAATATATATTTTTCGCTATTATTTTGAGAGCAATTATATAATGTCATTTTCCCAAATTATTGAAGTTATTTGTTAATAGCACTAAAACATAAAAGTTCTTTAGGGTGTCATTGTATCATAACTTAAATCTTGTAGTATTATAAATGCATTTAATACATGCATAAATATCGTGAAAGGATCCTTACCCTACTAGAATAATTTATGAAAATTGATTTTTGGGATCTGTTTGGGACATTTGATTAAATTGGAACGGTAGTCAAGCCTAAGACCTTAGCATTTGACTGTGCCCTGCCACGATGCTTTGAGTTTCTTTCCTCTAGGTACCTTTCAATTAATCAATCTTTACACTAACTTAGGCAATATTTCAATAGAATATTTAGATGATATTTGATTATCAGTTAGTGGAATTGTCTTTAAAATCACGAGCCCGGTATCTTATGTAAAGTGAATATAAGGCTTGAGCCATTATTGTCTCTAAATATATTAGGCTAAATTATTTACAAAATTTGATAAGTACTACGCGATGTTGACACGGTTATCCTTTTACGCCCTCTTTTTATTTCGACATGGTAAAATCATGATATCATCTTTTGCATATTCATTTGGATATTATATTTGAATTTGATCATTATTTATTAAATTTTATCTTCAAGTAAAAAGTGACGTGTCCTTTATGTTGATGAAAATCAAATACCATGTAAGTTTAGTATTTTGTGAATAGAAAAGGAAGTTTAAGGCGGGAATTTCTTATGTCATTATCATCCTTTAGTTTTTCAACTAGCACATGAGAAAAAACTCTATCTAATATATACTTTTATTTGTTCTCAAACCTTTTGTTTCGAACAAGAGTTGGGCCTACGGCAGATCAAATGAGCATTGAAACTTTCTCAAAATTGAATATACGCCGCTTTTATAGGTTTTGAGTTCGAGTCGTGAAATGTGTATATTAAAGTAGACTGTCTATATCACACTTTAAAGGTACAGTGCTTTCCCAAACTTTACGTGGAAACGAGAATACTTTATGCAGGAAGCTACCTTTTTCAATACTCCCTCCGGTCCAAAATAAGTGATTTTTTGGATGTTTTCACACAAATTAAGAAATCTACCTTTTAGCATTAATTAGCAATGGAATTGACCATATTAACCTTTACTATCTCACATAAACACTCCTAACACATATTCCAACACCATTTACTTCAAGGACAATGTAGGAAAAAAATAATTAATTCATTCTTGAAATCTG